GGCTTGAATTTTCTTGGTATATCTGAAACTTGGCTGAAATCTGATATTCCAACTAGTGCAATAAATGTACCTGGTTATAAATTTGTGAGGAATGACCGTCGATACTCTAGAGGTAGTGGTGTTGGTATATATATTTCTAGTGATATTTCTCATAAAGTTGTTTTCAGATCATCTGTGATAGGTAAATGCGAATCGCTTTTTATTGAGGTTATGTCTGGCGATGAAAAGGTTCTGTTTGGTGTTGTGTATCTTCCTCCTCCAGGTGATATTAATGTTTTTGAAGATATTCATAGTGATTTATTTTTAGAGTATTCAAAAATTGTTATAGTGGGTGATTTTAATACTAATATGTTTGATCCACATAAATCTATGTCTGTCCGTTCAGTCTGCTTCCGGTTAAACTTGTCAGTTTTTCGTAATTCCAAACCTACTCACTATGATGTTACACATCGTGCGTCTTCTCTGCTTGATTTTATGCTGATAAATGACTGCACTATGGTGCATCTGTCTGATCAGGCAATATGTCCATCGATATCTGACCATTCACTCATTTTTGCATCGTTAAATATTGGTGTTAATACATTTTGTGATTTTGTTGAGTATCGAGATTACTCTTGTGTTGACTGGCCGGGTTTTTTTTTTCTTATCTATCAGCCTTTAATATTGACGTGCTGAATGATGTGGATGTTGACGCTAAATGTTCTCAAATATCAAATCTTTTGTTGGGGTTGTTTGATTATGTTCCTTTGGTGCATAGAAAAATGCGATCTGATGATAATTGGATTAGTTCAAATCACATTACACTTGCTCGATCACTTCGTGATTTGGCTTTTAAGGCTTACCTTGATAATAAAAGCAATGATAATTAGAAAATTTTTTGTCGTTATCGTAATAGAGCGAAGTTAGTTATTCGTCGTGAGCGTAGAAAGTATTACTCTAAGAAATTTAATACGTTGGGTTCAACTGCTGTTTGGCGTTTTTTTTAGGTCTTCGGGTTGTATTGGTGATGATTATGTGTCTCTTGACATTGATGTTGATGATCTGAACTATTTTTTTCAATATCGGAACTCTCATATGCCTAATATTGATTTGCAATTGTCTAACGCACGCAGTGATGTATTTTTTTTAGTTGTGTTCGTATGGAAGAAATTATTAATGCACTAAACAGAATAAAGTCTAAATCTGTCGGAGTTGATGAAATACCTGTGGATTTTTTGAAATCAATCTTTCCATATGTGAGTGATATTATTTTGGATTTGGTCAATTCTGTTTTGATGTTCTTTGTTTGTGGAAGCAAGCTCGTGTCGTTCCAATTCCAAAGGGGAATGTTGTTCGTGGCCCTGATGATCTCAGGCCTATATCAATTCTCCCTGTGATGGCTAAGGTGTGTGAGCATGTTATGAAGGACCAAATACTTGCTCATATTGCAGGCAAGTTATATAATGGTCAATTTGCTTTCCGTAGGAATCATAATACCACCAGTTTGCTTCTTTACTTAACTGAGTTAGTGAGATCTAACACGAACCTTAAAAAGGATACTGTAATTGTTTCATTGGATTTAACAAGGGCATTTGATTCTCTTTCTCATCAAATATTACTCAGTAAACTGATGTATGAGTTCGATTTTTCTGAGACAGCTTGTAATCTTATTTTATCATATTTGTCTGGTAGATCCCAATTCGTTTATTACAATGGCAGATCCCTAACCTCTCTGAATGTTGTAATGATGTAAATTGTACTCCTCTCTTATATGCGGATGATGTGTATCTCGTTTTTACCAATTCTAATATTAATCCTACAGCTTTTGAAAGTGAAATTAATAATTGTCTTGTTCATGTTGGACAGTGGTGTTTTGAACATTCTCCGGTATTGAATCCGTCAAAGACAAAGGCTATTAAGTTTGGTAGTAATGCATATAATCTAAATATTGCTCCCGATGGTAATCTAATTAGTTTTGTAAGCTGTCACAGAATGCTGGGTATTTTGGTAGATGAGAAACTTTCTTTTGAGACTCATGTCGATTCCGTTCAGAGATGAGTTTTTGCTATTATTCGTAGATTATATGGTACTAATTTATTTTTACCATTGTGGGTTAAAAAGAGGTTGGCGAATGCTCTTTTAATGCCTCATATCAATTATGGGCCTGAGCTGGTTTCGGGTACGATAAATTGTATTTGTTTAAGAGTTAATGCTATCGTAAGATTTGTGTATGGTTTGAAGAAACGTGATCACATCTCAAATTTTGTTATAGATTTCCTGGGAGTTTATTTTGAGCAATTTTTATCTGTTAAGTTATTGCATTATTTTTACAAAACAATCAGAGGTGGTGTTCCCAGGTTTCTGGCTAATATGTTCAGTTTTTCGAGGTCAACTAGGAGTACTCAGATATTAATACCCAGAATAAATAACTTAACATTTGAAAAGTCTTTCATTGTACGTTTGTGGAATTATCTACCTATTGAGCTTAGAATTTTTTCCCATTCTAATAATGCCTTTCGTTTGAAAGTGTTGAATCATGTCCTGTATCCTGGTATTTATCCCAATTAGTTTTATTTTCGTTGTTTTGAGCTTTTATTTTCTTCATTTTACTCTTTTTTTTTAATTGTTAAATAATAATTTTTAAATTATTTTTATCGTCGCCTTTATTGTTCACCTTTCTTAAAAAAAATTAATTATTTGCTTTTGGTTATTTTGCCTCTATTGACTCATTTTTTTTTACTTTTACTTTTGTTTGTTTGTTTTTTTTTTTTTTGTAGTTTTGGCTGGGGAGCCTTTCATAACTTGTTTTTTAATAATGTGATAGTTAATTATAAGTTATTTTGAATTTTTCTACTTGGTATTGAGTACCTTATTAATACAATTAATTAGCCTTGGAGGCTTTAGTATTAAGTATGAATTAAATAAAGAAAGAAAGAAAAATTTTTTACCATAGTGGGGAAGATCGTTGTTTTTAAATTCCATAAAGTAGGTGGAAACGTTATATTGGTGCCATGCCAAAGCGGGAACAGCATTCCACAACCAAAAGGATTGTTATCTATTACAAGTCTTAAGTACCAAATTGCAAGCGCCGTGGAAAAATGTAGCTAGGATCATCAAAATACCGAATATCGGTGGATGCCGTTATATGAAAATCTTGGACAAACATGGACAATGTTATGTGACTGGTTGTTTAATCCATAATGAACCACAAATATGTGAACTAACCGGCTATTAGAAACCGTGAACATATGTAGACAACGTTCTGACAAAGAAAGTGCAATCCATCACAAACTCTATGTACCGGATTTAATACAATTCCATTAGAAAATGTATGTATGTATGTTATTAAAATACGTATGAAATAGTGGACCCATATATACAATGGTCTGCCATAGGAGGTAAAAACCATTACAAACTAAACAAGTAAAAAAACATTAAGTTCGGCCGGGCCAAACTTTTAATACCCTCCACCCTAGGGTAAAAGAACATTAGAAGAAATGTGGCAAAAAACATTTAAATGCCGAATATCGGGAGGTACCGTTATATGGGGGCTACACCAACACGTGCACCTATAATTACAATGTTTCGCCACACGAACTAGGACCCATTATGACCCACAAATACCAACTTTTACACAAATCAGTGAAAAAATGTGGCACAAATCATCAAAATACCGAATATCGGGAGGTACCGTTATATGGGGACTATACCAGAACGTGGACCTATACATGTAATGTTTTGCCACACGCTCAGGGACCCGTTGTGACCTACAAATACCAATTTTCAGACAAATCCGAGAAAAAATGTGGCATAAATCATCAAAATACCGAATATCGGTAGGTACCGTTATATGGGGGCTATACCAAAACGTGGACCTATACATGTAATGTTTTGCAACACGCTCAGGGACCCGTCATGACCTACAAATACCAATTTTCAGATAAATCCGTGAAAAAATGTGGCATAAATCATCAAAATACCGAATATTGGGAGGTACCGTTATATGGGGACTATACCAGAACGTAGACCGATATATCTCATTTTCAATACCAACCATCCTAGGGACAATACACACACTTGTGCCAAATTTGAAAGGTCTACATCAAATAATGTGGGCTCTATCGTGATTTCAACAGACAGACGGACAGACAGACAGACAGACGGACATCGCTAAATCGTCTTAGAATTTTATGCTGATTATGAATATATATACTTTATGGGGTCTACGACGAATATTTAGAGGTGTTACAAACGGAATGACAAAGTTAATATACCCTCCTACCCATGGTGGAGGGTATAAAAACAATAAGTGGATAAAGTCATCAAAATACCGAATATCGAGAGGTACCGTTATATATCGGCTATAGAAAAACATGGATTTATAAATGCAATATTCTGCCACCATTACAAACTACAATCGCCACAGTAGGCAAATTCGATGGAATTGTGAATTCAATCGTCCAAATACCGAATATCCGAAGGTACCTTCATGTGGGTGGTATAGTAAAACGTGGACCTATACAGACTATATTCAGCTATCAGAGGTAAATACCAATATACTTTTAATACCCAATTTGAAACAACTCCTTTTAAAATTGGAGCTAAAATCGATCGCTATAGGAAAACGAAGACCTATACAGACAATGATCTGACAACGCAGATATAATACCGTCACAAACTCTCAATACCGAATTTCGTGGAAAAATGTGACAAAAAATAAGAAAAATGCCGAATATCAGGAGATTTCGTCCACGAAAACGTGGACCGATATATCCCATTTTTATTACTGTGCCAAATTTCAATTTATGTGGACAGTATAGATTGTAATAGACTTAGAATTTCATGCAAAACGTTAATGTATAGTTTCCTTTCTTAGTATGTTCAACAAGGAACAAAATTGGGGACTAGCCCCGTTCAACGTTTTGTTGCGCCATATTAAACCAATAGTGTAATTTTAAGTTGTATACATAGCGGAAATGTAATAGTTTTGAAACCTAACGTTTGTACGATTGATAAAACAATTTTAAATTTAGATAGTTTTTATTATAAATTCTGTAACCATTGTAGATCTTTTGAAACCTCCTCGTCGTCATCACCTTTCTTGGACTTTTTCGATTTTTTCTTTTTTTTGGAACCATCATCTGATTTGTTGCTCTCACTGTGTTTTCGCTTCTTTTTCTTAATCACCTCTTCGCTTACAAATTGTACAGCATCGTCTTCTTCACTGTCTATTTCAATAGGTTTGGAAATCTGTTTCTGCTTAGGATTTTCACTCAATTTCTTGCCTATATTCTCCCTGAGAATTTTTGCAGATATCTGGTCTGCCTCTTGTAGACGTTTCTTTACATTTTGATCTACTTCCAGTTTTTCTTCATATTGGAATCCTAACAATGGATGCCTCACACGGATTTTTGAAGGCATTGGAACTTTTTTCGATGGTGGGCAACATTCAGAAACGCGTTCTTCAGTAATACTATCGGCTGCTTTCAGACGGTTTCTCAAAACAATAGTTCCACGTACTGGAAGTAGTCGTAAATCGTATCTTCCATTGCGATTGCAATATGCAAATGAGTGTTGTTGTTTTCCTTCCACAAAGTCCACAGAAACTGACTCGATCTCGTTAAGTGTTGTCCGTCCAGGCAATTTAATTTTTTCATTTTCCAGAGATTTTATATCCATCCCCTTGGGGCATTGAAGGAACCAAATTTCGTTCTCCATCACATCAATATCTTCAAATTTGCCAATAGGTTTCGCATCCATATCCGTCTCTAATTCAGAGTAGGTGTTGTTTTCCGCGAGGAACGATTCCCTCAGTGAAATTGGATCTTTCGGTGGCATAATTATTTATTAATTATTTATTTTTAGTTAAACTTTGAGTCAATGTATTGCATGCACGTGCAACAAACAAAAACATTACAATTGACAGCTATAGTGTTGCCAGAATATAAAGGTCTAAGTGACAACCAGCTGTTTCTCTATTTTCTGTAATATCAAGTTCACATGGTACATGATTCGCTTCCTATTTGATATTCGACACTTATATTAAGTTCATGGTGCGTGATTCACTCTCTATTCCAACCATGGTAGAAGAATATAGGTAGACGCATCAACACTTGATCTACACGTGTCTCTCCTGTTGAATTTTAAAATAGCTAAATACAAAAATATATTTTAAAAGTGAAAATTTTGAAGGAATTGAAAACATGAATGAAGAGTTTAAAGTTATAATACAATATCTCTTTGAGAAAAAATAACAATATGCAAATAAAAAAAAAAAAAAACAAAAAGTTAAAAAATGAAATCACGTTGTAATGAATTGAGATTCATGCCATGAACGCGATAATTCGTGAACGTAATCATGAAAGCGAGCAACTTGATTCAAATTTCAATGAGAACATGTTTTTAATACAATTTGTTAGGCTCTCCCATGGTAGAGTTAAGAAGGTAGTAATGGAATTACATTTACAATTTTTTAAAATTATTCGTTTGACAATATCTCATTGTCAAAATTTATATTTATAAATCCATTTTATACACAGAAGTCATTGAAATTTAACCAGTTAAGTTACAGAAAAGGCAGTGATGTATATGCTCATTTGAAATGACGTTACGTTATTAATTTTAACTTAAGTTGACTTAAGCCAGTCAAAAGTGTATCGTTTCGAAACGAACTAGTTCAAATGAATTACTCCGCGAACGAAAAGATCGGAACTATGTCTGTAAACATACGAGAAAAGTTTGTGAAAAGAAAGATGAGTTTTATGGATGGGCATGGTACAATAACAGTGTTATTTATCTATTTTAAGAAATTTGCGAAAAAAAAACACTTTCGAAATAAACAAAACCAATTGTTGCATGCTTTACAAGTTTTATTTTTGCAATATTATAGTACGTTTATATATATGAGGGTTAACCCACTGGATTTGGATTTAAATTGTCATACCCAATTACTTTTACTTCAAATAAATCCTCTCAAAGTAGGTTAACCCTACAAAAAGTTCTAACGTAAACATGGCATTAGTTTCTGCGACAAGTTTACATTTTTTCTTATACCATTCGGGCATTCCAACATTCTTTGCGTTACAAACAAATTATGCAGAAGGCTATCAATATTAATATGAAAACTAAAAAACCACAAACAAAGAAGTAATTAAGGTACAATTAAGAAGGTAAAGTCGTGCAATCATACGTATACAATTTTTTCAAAATTAAAAAAAATTAAATGTTTTTTCAAATATCAGTAGCTTTTTATATGTTTTTCTTATACGACGTCATTCGGAGGTTATTATAATTTGCATTTTTCAACAATTTTTACAATTTTAAATAATTTTTCATTCAAGATTTCAATTCCGAAATTGGTTTGACAGTTCATTGTCCCAACAGCTGTGTCGATGCGTCTACCTATATTCTTCTACCATGGTACATAGGCAGCATTGCATCATGGCTAGGCATATTAATGTCGAATTGTAAGGGGAAACGATATGATATGTCAGAAAATATACCATGTGAAGACTTCGGGAGAGAAAACATAAAACGTTATTCGAATTGCTTAAATCATTGGCTGGCTTCTTCGGAAAAGGACAAAGGAGCGTAGGGCCAAAATCTAACTAAGTCAACCTAAAATTCTTTTGTTCCTATACGAAGAAGGCAGTCGATGACTTAAGCAGTCAAAAAAGTGTTTTATATACTCTCACCTTTCTAGATGCTTATGTACCTACACCTTTAGGAGTTAATATTTACATTGAAAAAAATTTTTTTGAGATAACATCAAATATTATTGAAAAACAACACAAACATGGAACCATGGTACAATGAATACAAGGTAGGCTAACTTTGAAAAAATTGCAAGTATAGAGGTCTACCTGTTTGGCTTGTAATGTCAGAATTGCTATCAAAACAATAAAAAGGCAAACAACTTGTTGCATTGATTTTGAATAAATAATTTAAAACCGCGAAAACTGAATAAAAGGTCAACATTTCTTTTCAAAATCATGTTCTATATATCTCTTATAATTTATTTCGCGACAAAAACTGTAGACTTTGTCGATGCATACGTTGCAATAAGCATTTTGAAAACAACTGAATTAGAATATTTTCTGAACAATTTTTTATTATTGAAAAGAAGACACACACATAAGCAAATGAAGTTGACATATTAAGCCATAAAAAATAAAAAAAATTGAAATCATATGGTAGTTCTGCCCTACCTTGAATTCATTGTACCATGCATGGAACGTCATTCTCATTCACTCACTTTTATCTTTTTTTTTTTTTTTTTTTTTGTTTATTGAAAAGTAATTGTTGGATAGGTACCCGTAGTACCTATATACCAAGACTAGTTTTGCTTACATATTAGTGAATACTTAAGTAACTAAATAATTGAACTAGTTCCATGGTGAATATGACATATGACATCATTTTTGTTTACAATTCAATTTTGGCTGAAGTAATGAAATTACAGAGTTCCTTGAGGACGGTGTTTGTTCGGTATTTCAATAAATCAGGTAAGTTGGTAAAATCGTTGAAAATATTGAAGTTACATCTTAGGTGGTGAAATTTATTGCACTCAAATATCAAATGATTTTCCGTTTCAGGTACATTACAAACAGCACACAAATTAGTGTCTATCAGGTTCATTTTATGCAGGTACGTTTTGCAGTATGAGTGACCCGCTAGGAGTCTATTGATAATTTTAATTTCTACAGGTTCTAAAGACATTTCGGCATGCCAGTGTTTTTTTGGTGGAGATGGAAAGAAATTAGAGAAGTAAGTGCCTTTTGATAACGACAATAGTCTATATTTTCTAACCCATTCATCCCATAGGGCTTCATATATTTCCGCACGAGCATCCTTTACGGCTAAATTGGACGAAATTACACAGCCAGCTTCCACGGCTTGTCTGGCAAAATAGTCGGCACGTTCGTTAGATGGGATTCCAATGTGGGATGGAACCCACAGGAAGGTAAGGTGACTTAAAGTTGAATTGTTTATTTTGTTGATTATTATGTTGACTAAATAGTTGTGTGATGTGTTGTTTCTTAGGAGCAAACAGGCATTTTTACTATCCGTCAGGATTACTGCCCTTTGAATACCATCTTCTAAAATGAGGTCAACGGCCTTGTTAATAGCATTGAGTTCTCCCATGAGTGATGAACATTTGGCGTTAATTTTGAATAGAAAGTTTTGATTTGATGATATGTTGCAAACTCCGCAACCTGTCGAGTCTCCGATAATAGAGGCATCAGTTGCCCATATGGAAGTGCCGCTAGATTTGAACTCGTTTAGTTTTTCAAGATATATGCTATAAAAGAATTCTTTTGATTCTGAGTTTTTTCCAGCATTAAAGATGTTCATAGCGTATGAAATTTTGTCGCTTGGAATTTCAGACGGACATATTTTGGTTTTGTCGAAGATGTGTTTGAATTTGTTGTATACCAATCCAAGACTTGTTTTATTAGTTGGGTAAGACGTGAATTTCTCATAAGTGTTCCAGTGAAACATTTTGAATTTTAACAGCTCTTTCGCAGCTAGATACTGCGACCTTAGTTCCGGAGGCAAAAAGATTGCTAAGGCGTAAATTATGTGAACAGGCGTTGAAGGTGTTAATCCCAAGTTCTTTCGTAGAATTTGGTTTTGACACGTTGTTAGTTTTTTATTGACGTAGTTGGGCATGTGAGCCATTGAAGAAATGGAGTACTCAAATTTTGAAAAAAGAAGCGATCGGGAAAGGTTCACAGATATATTGGGGTGAATTCCACCTTTAAGCGAATTTACCATTTTCAAGGCATTTAGGGTGTAGCTGGAAGTCTTAATTACTTCATCATAATGATTTTTTATAGTTAAGCTGTTTTTTATGTGTCTTCCCAGAAATTTTATTTTGTCCACAGAGTTTATTGGAATTCCTTCAATTCTGATTTGTGGTATTTTTCTGGCACCTTTTGCTACATACATAACTACAGTTTTTTCAGTGTTTGCAGAGAGATTAAGGGATTTTAATATCCTAATGAATTCATTCATCTTGTTCTGAAGAATATTGTTAGCAGCGTCAAAATCCTTTTCTGCTGATAGTATAATGAAATCGTCCGCAAACTGAAAAGTTTTGATGGATTGGTTATTTATACCATGTAAGCCGAGAGTATAAATGTTAAACAGAGTAGGACTTAGACAGCTTCCTTGTGGAAGGCCATTATAGATCTCTAAACTTTCGTTGCCCATCATTAAAATCCGTTTCTTTAAAAAATTTGCAATCCACGTAGTTATATCGCTGGGACAAGAGAGCTCAATTAAAATTTTGACGAGTAGTTCAATGTTAACACAATCGTATGCTTTTTCCACATCCAAAGATACAATTATGACTTTATCACCTTTCTCTTTATGGTAGTTTATTGTATGTAGCAAATCATTTATGCACATAGATGAAGATAGATTTTTCCTATAAGCATATGTGTTTTGGGGGAGGATATTATTTTGATCAAGGTAGGTCTGAAGCCTTTCCTTTACCATTAAGTTTATAATTTTCGCAAAAACAGATATCAACGCGATTGGTCTGTAATTAGTAAATATGTCCAAATCTTTGCCGATCTTCGGGATGGGAACAATCTTAATTTTTCTCCATTCTGTGATGAAATTGCCATCTTTCCAAGTATCATTCATAGCTCTTAGTAAGTTCTGCTTGGCCATATGTGACAAATGGTTGACCATTTCGTAAGTAACACCATCTGCACCAGCTGCTGATGGTTTCTTCTTTTTCTGCAGCACATTTTCAAATTCTTCATATGAAAAACATGAAGACGATTGTGGCTTTAAATGCATGTGTTGTATTGGGGAATTATTAGGAACTTGATCCCTAAGATGAATTAAAAATTGTTTATCGTTTTCAGACGACCATTGAGTTTTATATATTGGCATCGAAGAATTTTTACATCCCCGAACAAATTTAAAAAGTGCCTTGGAATTTGGTTCGTTGTTAAGATCATGAAGTTTTGTTTTGAAAGCTTTTCTTTTGGCAAATTTTACAGCGTTGTTAAAGGCTTTGTTAGCCTCAATAAGTTTTAAAGCATTGATGTTATTATTGCACATGTTATATGTTTTTTGAGCTGCTAGCTGAAGTCTGTGGGTTTTATCTACCACAGAGTCCCACCAAACTTTTGGGCATTGGTTATCTTTTAAGAGATAAGTGGATTTTTTAATTTCATTTTTGAAAGTTTCATTAATTTTCTCAAAGCATGGAACAATATTTGCACTATTTAATGATTTTAATAGCTTTTTCTTAGCTAAGAACCGTTTGTTTCTGATATTGCTGATACCAATATTAATTATTATAGGGTAGTGATGGCTTCCTCCAATTGTGTATGGTTGTACTTTCCACGAAGTGGTTAACGCCGTATTCGTAAAAGAGAGATCAAGAACAGAACCAGTGATGTCGATAGATCGTTTTTTAAAAGTGAAATTTCCATCATTAAGTGAATAAAAATTAGATGGATCGAAAAAGGATTTGACAATATTGCCTCTATGTGAATCAAAGGTGTCTCCATAGCAGGAATGTCTTGCATTAAAATCGCCGCAGATCAGTACGTCAGGACGTGATTCCAGAAAGCATAGTAGTTTATCGAGTTCGTGTTTTATTTCAGTGGCTCTAATAGAATGAGGGAAATACACAGATACTATGGTTATGTTGTTTGAAATATTTGTAGTTTGGCAAATGAGTATGTCCAATGGTGTTTGGAAGTGTACTTTTCTGAACTTTATATTCTTTTTAAAGAGTATGGCAACTCCACCGTAGTTGTCTTTTCTCTTTTTTGAAACAATATTATAGTTGGATATAGATGTGTTGTTTTGCGATTCGTCGATATTAAAAATTTCACTTAACATGCAGATGTCGATGTTGAATTTATTCAAATAAAATTCAAGATAATTCTTATTCTTGTTTAGGCTTTGAATGTTATGTTGTAAAATGTTCATGATAAAAGATGATTAGTTTTGATTGTTTGTATAAGAATTTGATTTTGGAGTTTGAGAATTTTCATTTGAATTTATTTTATATTTTGTATTTTTTGCAGGACCTGGTAGGAGGGATTTCCTGAAGTTTTCCAATATGTCTAAACCTTCCGTGCAGTTCAGAGAGGTAAGTAACTGGGACATTTGTTTTGTAAACATTGACATGGTTTTTTCCAGATCTGATACTTTGGCAAAAGATGGATGTTCAAAAACAGGAATTGAAGGCGCAACAGTGATGGGGCTAGCTACTGGATGGTTGATTTTAGTATGAGGAGCTGCTATTTTGCTATATTTTATTTTTGTAATTCTTCTGTTTATTTCATCATTAAAATTTCTTATATTTTGATTAGAAGATTTGTTAATTGTTGGAAAATGAGAGTCGTAGCTTCCATCAGCTAAGATGTTATAATAATTTTGGGATTCAGGGTATGCCTTTATAACTTCTTTCCTGCTTAGATTTGACAGTGTCATAAGCGATTTGATCTCTTTTTCCGATTTCCACCTTGAACATTTTCCTTGTTCTGTGGCATTGTGATCATTCCCGTTGCACAAAATACATTTTGGAGTGTCACATTGTTCTTTACATTTTGTATTAGTAAGGCAATCATTGCATTTTTGTTCCTTGCATTGGTTTGGACATATTATAAATTTACCACAGTCTAGACAACGTTTAGTTGATCTACAGCGTATAGCAATGTGACCAAGACGGCCGCAGTTTTTACAAAGGCGTACTGGGGGTACATATAGGTCAGGTTTGACCCTAGTACCGCACATAAAAATCGAATGAGGAACTCCATTACATATTATTCCTACCTTAACAGTTTCAGTCTCTTCTATTTTGTTGTTTTCGTTTTTCCTTGTAAATCTGTATACAGATATAACATCAATATCGTTGTTGTCTTCGATAGAATTTTTTATTGTAATACCATCAATGGATTTTGGAACATTTTTAATAACGTAAAACTTTTGTATAAAACGCTCTGGAATCTCCGCTTTCAATTTAATTTCTTTTAGCTGTTGGTTTTGAACGAAAGAGTTTGCCATAGCAAGGTTGTTGAATGTAAGGCGGAAGGTATTGTACCCAATGTTTTTACACACATATGTGGTGGGAATGTTAATCTTTTGAAAAAGTGCATATAAATGCAACTCGCAATTCTTCCTCCTGGAGCTAATTGGGGTTTCCGAAGTGACAATGACATAGAATGGGCCCGGATGATTTTGTGGATAAAGAATATTCGATTGTAGAGCATTATAATTGTATTCAATTTTTCCTGACAAATCAGATTCATTTGAAGAAGTCTGTGAAATATTTGTATTTTTGATTGGTTCACCATTATTATTTATAAATATTTTCTTTTGGTTTGACATTAAATGTGCCCGGCGTTTATTAGGGTCCCAGAGAGGTGTTGGGGGAGGTTCCCCGTCGGCATCCATTTTAAAAAATTAGAAGTTTTTCTGATTTATTTTCTTTTTATTGAAAGAAAAAAAAAAAACAAGAAAAACAAAATGTCTCGAAAAACAAAACAAAAACTTAGTTTGTGATTATGTTTGTATGTATGTGTGTTATTGCAACGCAAAAACAAAACGATAATAAAAAGGCGCAGTCTAGCATCAACAAGGGTTGAGTAGCGACTGCACTTTTATCTTTTCAATAAATTTAATTTCTCTTAGCCCTTAAAATTAGCCGTATGTCGATGGACAGACATCGCCGTGAATATCATCGGGCTTCGTTGTCTGGTCAGACCCAATGAGGAAACTTATGAAGATAAATGGAGAAAGAAGGAACACGAGAGAACTACATAAATATGAAGTAGTTGAGTTGATACTTCAGATTGGAATTTGGGAATTTTTGCATTATATTTTATTATTTTTTTTGTTATAAACGTTATAAATTGCCGCCAGACGATCCCTTACAATATTCACAGAACATTAAACGAAAATCCAACAGGGAGCGCAGCAAATGGACAAAAACTAACAACCAGTAAACAAATGTGAGTGTTGCGAAATAGAAATTAAAAGTTTTCCTGATATTTGGGTAGATGTCCAAGAAAACGATTTCGATTTATCTAATATTGCGACACAAACATTAATCTTTGTGTCAAAAATTGCCAAATCGAATTTATAGTGACGTGTCAAATTTTAAATCAGAGAGTGATAATATAAAATGATATGTGCCTTTGTAGCGCACCCTCGCCACCTTACTTACCTCACCTTTGAAGACTCATTTACTTTGTACCGTGTGTGTTGGATTACGCTGATGTGTGTACAATGTCCTTTGCACAGGTTAAGCAAATGGATTCTATACAGCATTTTTAATATTCATTGTTTTTAACTTTTATTGTGCTAAAGTTTCCCCTGCAAATTAAACTATTTTCAGTTACTCGCATTCGTGTCACTAGAATCTGATGAAATCCAAAAATTTTAGATAACAATAACTTAAATGAAATTATAAAATATTTTTCAAACTTATATTGTTTATATATTCCACAGCTTTATGAATTTTCAACACTAGCCACATTTTGACCATTTTCACATCTCCCACTTTATTTTGCAAAACCAAGAAGGAGCAAATTCTTTCCTCCGACAAACGAATTTTATGTGCAACCGATTCTTCCAAAAATGGACTTATCATCCTCATCTTCAAGTTCCACAACACCGGCAACAGCGAAGGCAACATCATCGACCAGCAAAACCCCTCTAATTGCTGACAATAGCATAGAATCAATTAATAACGATACCGCCGGCAGCAATAGCCTATATGATAGTGCTATGGATAATATAACAACATTTGTTTCCTTTACTGGTAAGTACGATGATTATGTGATAGTCACTTCAATGTACATTTAATAGCATATATTATTACAAATTTTATCAACAGAGAGTGCCAACAATAATAGCAGTACGTTAAATTCAACAACCAACAGTAGTACACCCATTACCACAACGTCCAGTGAAAACTTTTCCCATTTGAATTCCTCCTCAGCATCATCTGGATCTATGGATTTTGACACAACTTTGAATGGAGACTCAGAATCAGCAGCTTTATCGGACAATTTAGCAGTACAAAATGACTTTGGACCATCGTACCCCATTAACCAACTAAACAATGATAATCAAAATGTTATAAACGCGAGTATGCTACTAATACAGTCAGAAAGTACAGAGACTAATAGTACATCTCAAGAAGAAGTGGATCCCAAATCGAAACTAGCAAATAAGACAATATTCAAAACCGATAATCCGGATTTGTCAATTATAGAGATAAATGAAAATTCTATCAGAGATCAGGACATAGAAAATTCTGTTTTGGTCATTGAGACGTCATCGGATGAAGATTTCTCCGAATCACTCGATCAAGGGCCCAAACAAAGTGATAAGTCCATTAATCCAGACTTAACATACGCCAACAAATCGTCATCGCCTCATAGTACATTGGGTGAAAATGTTTCCGATAAACGGCGCAGAAAGGCTGAAACCCTTATATATTCCAGTAAACAAAAACTTAATATAGCAATTGCAGAAGCATCGGCGGCAGAGACGGCATCACCAGCCTCTGTCGGTGATGCCAATGCAGTTGGAAATGGGCCACAGCCGCAAACAAAGCGTGAAATCAAAATATACGATACGATTGAAGAGTTTGAGAGGAATCTACCATCCACGGTAACTGTGCTGGACACACCGTTCGGTAGTAAAGTTTATTTAGTTGGTACAGCTCATTTCAGTGAGGAATCACAAGATGATGTTTCATTTGTAAGTAAAAAATGTATTTTTAATCAATTTATGTTGGTAAATGAATTGCATAAACGTACAGTAATTCGAATAACTATATAGTTGGATTTATTCAAAAACGTAACTTTAAAACTTTTATTTATACCTTGAAAAATTAAATTGAAACACATGCTACGACAATTTAAGGACTATTTCTATCTTTTCACTTAGCTGCAGTTCAGTTACACAACAGTCAAATTCTTTACTACCCTTTTGTGAGGCCGATAAAAAATCATTATGAGTTTATTAACTTTGTTAAAGAATATATCAAAAATTTGTTTTTGCCGAAATTTGAATAATGAGAAATATATTTTTGAAATATCGATCTATTGGGATGATCTTGTATGTTCGTAAACTATGTTTTAAAATAGCTTATTATCATTACTATTGAATGAGTTACTATATATACCACAACTCTTAAGGTCAAAAACTGTACTGCTGGTACAATTTTCAGCACATTCATATATTTTTCATTTTTATATAGGTTATTCGTAATATCCGTCCAGATGCTGTTATGGTAGAGTTGTGCACATCCCGCATACCCATTTTAAAACTCGATGAAAAGACCCTTCTGGAAGAGGCAAAGAGTTTTAATTTGGCTAAGGTAATTCAATTTCCCATAACGATCTGTAATAAAATCGGTTTTTATTGCATTAAATATTGACAGATACGCAGCATTATCCATTCACATGGTTACATCAATGGCATATTTTTTATACTACTTCTCCAAATGAGCGCACAAATAGCCAAGGATTTAGGCATGGCACCGGGTGGCGAATTTCGTCGGGCGTTCGAAGAAATACACAAATTACCCGGTTGCATGTTACATCTTGGTGATCGCCCCATACGCATCACTTTACACAGGGCTTTAAGAGCGCTCTCATTGTGGCAGACTGTAAAATTAGTATGGCGCCTTACATCGTCCGACACCATCAGCATAGAGGAGGTTGAAGAGTGTAAACAGCGCGATCTCTTGGAGAAATTAATGCAAGAAATGGCCGGAGAGTTTCCCGAATTTTCCGATGTATTTGTCAAAGAACGTGACCTATTCCTATGTCATTCTCTGCAAATGGCCGCCTTACCTCAGCCAGCTGAGGGAACTGGTGAACTACGTCCGGTGCGTGTTGTCGGTGTGGTTGGCATTGGTCATGCCAACGGCATAGCTAAGATGTGGGGCCGTGTAGATCCACATATAATACCAGCCATAATGGAAATCCCACCGGCCAGTTTGAGTACCCGTATTTGTAAATACACAGTTAAATATGGTCTTATTGGTTTGACACTCTATGGAGCGTTTAAACTGTTAAAACCGCATTTAGGACGTTTGCGTTAAAGGACAAAAGTATAACGTACATTATCATTTGTTCTGTCTGATATTTAGTTGATAATTTCTATCATTATACATTTTGCTTTGAACAAATCAAATTGAAAAAAAGAACAACGTATACACATCATTCTTTAAGAAATTCAAAAAAGAGATCATATTTACAATATACATACATATATACATTAATACGTACATATTTAATAAACGATGTCAGAAGAAAAATATTCCATTCAATTTTTAGACATTTTGAAATGACTATAAAAACACAGACATATTTTTAATTCCAATAAATGTTAGTTCCTCTATGCCGTTTTGTCATTACCACCTTAATGCCCCGCCCCGCGTATGTGTAAACAAGATTATGTGATTTTGAAAAAGATATGTAAATTTTAAACATTCCACACTATATACTTACATATATATACCCACATTATTACATAAACATATATGTTGCCTATGTCGTGTCTAATATTTTGCAGGGAGATTTATGTAAATGTAAGAAAGCAGCAAAATTCCTTAACGTTGATTTTCAGAGACAAAAGAAAATCAATTCAGTTCGATATTAGATTATGTTATTAGTTATAAATTGTAAATGTTTAAACCTGTACTCTATAATTCCCTGAAAACAATAACCCCTGTGCATTTATTACACACATGCATGTATATGATATGTAAATGTAATAAATATAATTCTAATAAAAATCCCCAACTTTAAAAATAATCCATATAAGGACAAAGGTTTGATGTTTTCAATGTTTTTTTTTTCTGTAAATGTGTTTTCACGCCTTTCAGAGGGTATACAATTCAAGGAAGAATAAAATTTAAAACAAGAGCCTAAAAAATAAGTCTCATAAGTCATGTAAGGTTTGATTATGAATGGTTCAATTTCGCTTCAAAGTATAATTTGCGTCATCTAAAACAAGAATGAAAATCGACAATATCGCGGCAATTCTGAAAGAAGATTATCATCCCAAATTTAGCCTTAATTTAATTACAGAAAATTGTCAGGGATGTCGTTTTGTACAGAATCAATTTAGCAGGTATTGTGAAGATTTTTCGAAAAATTTTCAACCGGTTATTCTGGGGTTTTGATCCTTAAAGACTGGCTTAAAATGAAACGTTTTTCGAGGACTACACAAGAACTAACAGCACAGAGAATGTGTCTTTAAAACGAAGGGTTTGAAAATATCTATTCTTATATGTTTAGTATTTCGACAAGAAAAAATAAATTCCTTTTCCTAAGATATGGAACATGAAACGGTACTTGTTTTAGATGGTGCAAAATGATACTATGAAACAAAACTCAACCACTCATAATCAAACATTACATGACTTATGAGGCCATGGTAAAATTACCAAGGTAATCTCATGCAATGATAGGTTTACGTTTTTTTTATTTCATAGTCCTTCAGTGTCAAATCTATGTTTTGTATTTCTTCCTTAAATATGGGTGTACAGCTGGCAAGAATTTTACACTTATTTGCGACCAAATATTTTACTCAAAATATAAACTAATGATTTTGGAGTGGTTGAATTTTGCTTCAAAGTATGAATATCGAAATTATTTTAGCTTGTTTTGCTTTACTGCTGGTAGAATACTATTTTTCCGATTTGAGTCTATTCACTCAATTCTCTCAAAATACAAAGTATTGAATATTATTATGATTTATTATTATTTATCAATTATAAAATAAACAGTGACTTTGTTTACATTTACATTACCCAACTATGTCGTGAAATATAAAAATATAGAACTTATATAGCAGAAAAATGAATAAATTGTTTTCGAAGTCGAGTGACTTCACTGGCCCTGAGTGACTTTACTGGCCCAAGATAAACCATAGTGACATCTGCCGGAAGGGGAAAATTTTAAAACTTTTTAGTCTATACGTTTATTTGTCTATGCTCTTATATAAAATATCTGAATTCAAACGTGTTCCACTTTAAACTACAAATACTAGTAAGACCATCTGAGTAATGATGTTAAACTTTTCAAAAACCATAAAGTGGGTGAGGCCGTTATGCCAACACGGAAACCTCTATAGACAATTTTATACTTCAAGGGTCGTTATCTACCAAATCTCCTTAAATACCAACTTTGAAAAAATTTCGTCAGTACATGAGACTAGGAACATCAAAATACAGAGTATCAGTGGGTATCTTTATGTATGCGCTATAAGAAACCGTGGACCTAAATTTTCAATGTTCCAGAACCAATGTTTCTAGAACCCACTATATATAAGGTGGACAAATACATACAATGCTCCGCCACCGGAGCTTAAACCCATTGCGAACTACAAATACCAATTTTTAGGCAAATCCGTAAAAAATGTGATAAAAATCATCAAAATACCGAATATTGATAGGTACCTTTATATGGCGGCTATATCAAAACGTGGACCGATATATATAATTTTCAATACCAACCATCCTAGACACAATACAAATTGTTCTATTTCAAATAATGTGGTCTGTATCGTGATTTCAACAGGCAGATGGATGTCGTTAAATCGACTAATATTTAGGGGTCGAGTAAGCCAGAAAATGATTGCCATATTCGTTTTAGCTAATGAATCTACCTCTATTGTGTTGCCATGTATGAGGCTAATATTTTAGACTTCAGTTTTAAATTATATTCTTCCTTGAATTTTTTACTCTCTGAAATGACAAAATATTTAGTCGGAAACAAATTTCCAGCAGTACGCTAATATTTAAGGAAGAACTACATAATTTAAATTTGCCAATTTAGGGACATCAAAAAAATTGTAAGCGTGTGATTGCATGAGATTACCTTTGTAGTTGTGCTATAAGTATTTAAGGGCCTATGAACGCCGATGGTTTGAACTCTGTAATTCAAAATCGATCGTTTTTGTTTTAGCTTCTTTAGATTCCGATCGATTTGGTGAACTACGAAAATCACATTACTCAGTGTAAATATGGCAAATTAGAGGAATGAAAGACGAATGAATGAGGAATCAAAACAAACCACATGATTAGAAAACAGAAGTGGAAATTGTGAAAAATATTGTTTTAAATATAGTTTCTTGCATGGTACAATGAAGAGAAGGTAGGTCAACTTTGAAAAAATTGCAAGTATAGAGGTCTACCTGTTTGGCTTGTAATGTCAGAATTACTATCAAAACAATAAAAAATCAACCAACTTGTTGCATTTATTTTGAATAAATAATTGAAAAACGCGATAACTGAATGAAAGGTCAAAACTTATTTTCAAAATAATGTACTACATATCTCTATAGGATTATTTCGCTACAAAAACTCTAGATTTTGTAGATGCATACGTTGAAATAAACATTTTGAAAACACCCGAATTTGAATATTTTCTGAACAATTTTTTTATTATTGAAAAGAAAACACATACATAAACAAATATAGATGACATATTAAGCCAAGAAAATAAAAAAATTAAAATCATATGGTAGTTCTGCCCTACCTTGAATTCATTGTACCATGGTTTCTTGTGCGATAAGTAATTTAATTTTGTTAATTTGTACACATTGCCGGGAGTAAGTAATGCACACAATACTAAAAAAATACACCGGATGAATTTTAGAGATGCTTCTGACCCCCTGTCCATGTACATTTTTGCATAAAATGCTTTTTAGAGTTTTTGGTAATGTGTTTTACTTCTGCTTCACTTTATTATTCGAAAGGCCACCATTGTTTAGTTATCACAAATGAAAAAGCTGGCTTTCAAGAATAAATGATATGGCACCACTTTGTTAATCACTTGCTTCGTCAATAAGATACAAATAATAAGTGCTAATTATCTACAGGATGAGATAAAAAACTGCAACAAAGTCAAACGCCATAATTTTTAATGTTTTTTCTTTTAATTTTATTGAATGAAAGCAAAAAAATTTAGGAAATAGCTTCAAATTTAAGAATAAGTTTAGATTTGTTCGAATTGGTCACCTTTGGCACGAATTATGACCTTCAAACGGCCAATGAAACCGTCACGCGCTCCCCGAATGTTGCTCTGCGGTATTTTGACCCATTTCCGGCGAAGCGCTTGCTTGAGGTGATTGACACTTTGTTATTTTTCAGTGCCAACCTTGCTTTCCAAAATACTCCAGATACAATGGTCCAATAGATTGGTATCAGGAGATTTTGGTGGCCATTGTGCGTAGGAAATGAAGCGAGGAATCTTATTTTGTAACCATTCTTGGCTGAGTCCTGTTGGAATGTCGGCATTTATTCTGAAGCCACGGTCGATAAATACGAGCGTAGAGCGTACATCGGCTGTTATGGCGGTCCATACCATCACCATGGCCGGCGCTTGAGTTCTGGTGGCCAACCGAAGGTGCACATTTTCAGCTGATCACTTTGGCAAGTAAACACGATCATTTTGTTTGTTTACAATCTGCTGGACAACGAATGTTTTCCCATCGGAGAAAACCAAATTCGGCAGTTTACCACTTTCGTCTAAACGAAGCAGCTCTTTAGCTCTTTTGAGTCTATTTTCTTTCTGTTGCGGTGTAAGTTCTTGCAATTTTTGGAATTTCAATGACTTTATCCCGATATGTTCAGCACACGAGCCATTTTTCGGTCACTGCGACGCGGGTTTCGGTCAAGTCACTTCTTTGATGTTGCTGTTTTCTTCCGACCACTATCAGGCTTGAATTCCATAACGAATAAATTTTTCTGGGAAATTCTCACCATGTCACTGGAATAATTTTACCAGCGGTAGGACGAGTGGCTTAGAAATGACATCAGTCTGAAGTTGATTGCAGTTTTTTCATCTCACCCTGTATATTAACAAAAGAGTAATGTAAATGACTGACCTAACGATCCATCAACGCCCACATGACACTGCTGAAGCTAGAAAATGAAATTTTGGGTGAGGTCACTCTTGGTCCAAAGAGGTCAACTAAGGCTGGGTTTTTGGAAATTAGTACTGGAACGGTATGAAAAGTATTAAAATGTGCTAAATATGCTACCCTTTGTATTTGAGGAAGCAATAGAGGTATAACTCTTACATTTAGATGGAGTGCAAGAAAGATTTACCAAAGGGGTTCGTACCATAAGGGTACGAAAAATACTAAAATGTACTATATTGGGTGTCATTTCGTATCAGAACGGTTAGAACTAAAAACTTGAAATTTGGAATGAAAATCAAGGTTGAGGAGTAGAGTCGATATGTGGAGGCATTTTTGGAAGTATACGAAAAGTACTAAACAGTACTCAATTTAGTACAATTTGAATTTGGAGGAAAAGATGGAACAAAAATCCTGAAATTTGAAATTAACATTGCTGGCGGTGTGTAGGAATATGTGCACGAAAAATACGAAATGGTACTAAATTTGGTACAATTATGATTTGGGTTAACCGATGATCGATATAGCTGGAATTCTGAAATTTAGAAATAATATTACTATTGCATTCTAGAACGTAGGTAATTTGGGAATTCGTACTCATGTGTACTAAATAGTACCAAATTTGGTACAATTTAAATGTTGGGAAAACCAATAAAGTTGGAATCCTGAAATTTGGAAATTGGATTACTATTGCATTGTAGGACTGAGGGATATAGGCAGTTTGGGGAAAATTGTACTTATGTGTACTAAATGGTATGATGTAGGTTGTTATGAAAATTTTTAATTAATAGTACTAATTTTGGATTTGGGTGAACCAATGCAGCTGGTATCTTGAAAATTGGAAATATGATTACTGTCTGAGTGTAGGATTGGGAAATGTAGGCAGTTTTTTTTTTTCAAAA